AGTCTCTTTTTAATATGCACAAAATACCCTGGTACAGTGACTTCCTAAATGATGGGGAAATTTTCAATGGAAGGAAAGGCAATCACCACCTAAAGATAATTATTTTCTTCATTCCTTTACATATATTTGTGCATGTGATTTTCTATTCAACCAGGCCTTGTTCTTACCCTGTTTGGTAACTATGTTCCCCAGACATTTGACATAGAAATTAAAAACTCTTATTAGGATATGTTACCCTGCAAGTGGCTGAGCTGTTTTGGAATTGTGACTTCTCCAAGTAATAGACAAATGAAGGCCCAACGGGAAATTGTACTCTGTAGGTGGCAAGTGCTGTCTCTGGCACCAAGTTGGAGGAAAATAGTCTAAAATAGTTCAAGTACAGGAGCTGTGGTCTTACTTTGTAGATAGTATAAAACTTCTTCTATATAAGCTGCTTTCACAACCAGGCTTATTTTCACTCCCACCCTACACACAAAACCCCTTTTCTACTTTTGCTGGTAACATGGATCTCCTTTCCAGGGGCAAATCTGTGGGTATCTGAGTAACAGCATCAAATCAGCAGCATACAGGCTCTGTAAAGTGTGCACTGAATTGCACCCTGGGGCTAAAATAACCTAAAAATTATTTCCATAATCATGGTTGATCTCCCGTGCTTTAACCTCACCCCCTACACACATAGGTTTCTTTCAAATTCAGTCCCTCTAGAGTTATGTGGATTACAATAAGTAGAAAGCAGAAAATGCCTTCATGGTTCCCAAACAGCAGTAATTTCCTCTGAAAAGGTTCATTTTGTGCTTTATCCCACATAAGTAGCATAAAAATTTCCCATAACAAGAAGACATAGAGGTTTCCATGAATAAGGTCTTATGTTACCACAAAAGAATTTTATACAATGTGACCTACTCGGTACTTAGAATCTACTAGCAATTTTATGGCCACCAAAATCCTTTCAAAGGGAATTCATACCAGAGGTGTATAAGGAAAAAGAGGAGGCCTTCCTGAAATCAATCAGATATTCAACTAACCTGAGGGTTGTGGTTTAGAAACATTCCCAATGAATAGCTTAATTGAAGAGATGAGAAAAAGTTGTTCACTTATCACTGTAGCCATTGATTCTTCGCCATGTCCTTCTCAGAGTCACTAATAGGATAAATATTGTACTTAGACCATAGGGGGCTTTGGGAAAAGAGCAGCATGGTTTAAATCCAACCCTGACATTCAGCAACTATGTGACTTGGCATCCATTACTGCTTTTGTAAGCCTCAGCTTTACCAAGTGAGGTACATAATCTACATGAGTAAGTTAAACTAGTGATACACAATCAACTCACTACAGCTCCATGAAATAAATATGATTCAAGCCGTGAAACACTTTCAAAACAAGGGCTCAGTAAAAAGAGTTCTGTTATTAGAACGCTGCTATTGTCAGAGTGGCTAGGCATTCGCTCGTGTGCAAGATTTCCAGTTAATAAAAAGCTGTACAGAAAAACAACAGTTTATAAGATGTATAGACGAATATTTTCATGAGCTTAGAGCATGAAGATTTTAAAAAAATAGGATACTTGAAACACAAAACATAAGGAAAACTTGAGAAATGAGAATACATTAATTAACATGAAAGGTTTTGTTCCAAAAGTGGACATCTTTAAGGGAGCCAAAACAAACAAACAAAAAGATGTAAATACCTGCCATGAATCATGAAGAGGGAAACCAATGGAAAACAGGCAGGAGATGGAAATAATGCTTCACAAAAGCAAATGCTATTGAAATGGCCATTAAACACATGAAAATATACACACCTGTAATTCTTCCTCTCAGGAGGCTAAGGCAAAAGGATTGAGAGTTTGAGGCCAACCTAAGCTACATAGCAAGAGTCTGTCTCCAAAACAACAACACAGAAAAAAAGTTTTAAAAAACACATGAAAATGTGCTGAACTTTACACTAAAAGCTTAAAACAGGAGGAAAAAAGAAGAAAATAAATCTGACAATGCCATGTGTTGTCCCAAGCTGCTCTAGGGCAAAATATTTTAATTATTTTAGAAACTGGCAGTATTTAGTGAACCTGAACATGGACTGGCCCCATGACCTAGCAATGCCATTCCCAGGTATCCAGCCAAGAGAAATGTGGACAAATACATCCCAAGAATAGATCCCATTGTGACTAATCTCAGACCTCATTTTTGCAAACAGTCTTTACTCCAATGGCACTTCTGATAAACAATCAGAGGCAATTATTTAACATCACAGCTGCTTAAGGCAGTGATAGAAGTTGGGTCAAACAAGAAGTTGATCGAGAAACTTAGAAAAGGAAAGGAACAAGATTTCTACTGGGGGTTTTGAATAGCTCCGGCATAGTTTTGGGAATTTAGAGTGTCACACACATGCACTGAGCTGTGCTTAAGCCCAGGAAGCCCTGAGATGGCCCTAAACTCACCCTCTGACTGACCACATGGCTCTGTGAAAGCACAGCTGAAAGGTAAAGCAGAGCTGAGAATAAGCAGCGCCAGCACTGAAGACATGATTCACAGAGCATACTTCTGTCTTCAAAAAGGTGGGGAGACTTAAGGCTCTGACCACTCATTTCCTGACCACTAAATGAACTCAACAAGACATCAGTGGCCATATCCAACAAGGCACAAATATTTTCCGAATTTCAGGAGTCACTATACAAATAAGCACCACCACCACCAGTGATCTACAACCTGGACTGGGATCTCCTATAAAGGCTGCCATATCATAGTATTTAAATGTATGGTTTCCAACAGAAACGTAAAGTATAAGACAGGCAAAGGAACAGCAAAGTACGGTCCATACACAGAAAATGAAGCAGTCAGCAGAAACTGACTGAGGAAGTTAGATGTTGTGTATGCTAGACCAAGACTTTAAATCAACTATTTTGGATATATTCAAAGAAGTAAAAGACAACACATCTGCAGAAGTAAAATGAGAATAATATCTCCCCAAATAGAAAACACAGATTTTTTTTTTAAAAAGAATAACAAATTCTAGAGATGAAATGTAAAAATAACCACAAGGGTTCAACAATAGATTTCAGTTGGCATAAAACAAAAAATCAGTGAATCTGAAGCATATCAATTGAGATTATCCAGTCTAGGAACAGAATTGAAGATGAATGAAGAAAAGTGAACACGATCTTAGAGATCTATAGAACACCACCAAGCATACTAATGTAAACCCTATACAGGTCACAGAAGGCTTGGAGAGAGAGAAATGGACAGGAAGACTGAAGAAATATCTAAAAACTTTCTAAATGTGACTTACAGACACACATATATGAAGCACAATGTATTCCAGGTAAAGTAAGTTCAGAGATTGATATCTAGACAAATTACAATCAAACTATTTAAACAAAAAGACAAATCTTCAAAGAAGCAGAGGAGAAACAACTCATCATATGAATGAGACGGCCACAAGTTTAACAGTTGATTTCTCCAAAGGAACTATAGAGGCTAGAAGGCAATAGAATAACATTTTCAAAGCACTGAAATAAAACTACCAGTTAAGAATACTATATCTAGCAAAACCATCCTCAAAAATGAAGGAGAAATTAAGTCATTCTCAGATAAACAAGTGCCCTGGCTTGGATGATGAAAGGTATATTCACTCTATTTGATTAGTAAGCTGATGTGAAAGTAGAAGGAATCAGACAGAGCCTGAAATTTCTTTTTCTTGTCCTGGGCAGTGGTTACATATTTACTTTGTGATAATTCATTGAGAAGTATGTTTATGTTTTGTGCATCCTTCTTTCTATGTGGTTTACATCACAGATTTTTTTTTAAAGTCACAGATACTTTGTCTTTATAAAAACAAAATTACCGTGGACGCCTGTAGCTAATGCCTATAATCCTAGCTACTAAGGAGGCAAAGATCAGGAGGACTGCGGCTCAAAGCCAGCCCAGGCAAATAGTTTGGGAGACCCTATCTCAAAAGAAAGGGCTGGTGGGGTGGCTCAAGGTGAAGGCCTCGAGTTCAAACCCCAGTACTGCAAATAAATAAATAAATAAATAAAAATTACCAAGTTATACTTCTTACTTTAACTGCCCAAATAGAAATGACTTTATAGGCCAAAGCAAAAACTTGGTGAAATAAGCTATTTCTTCCTCCATATCTTTGTTCTGGGTCTTTCTTTGCATGAAATCTTCTGATTGTCCTTTTCACACAATTTATCTATGCTCTTCCTTTAACAGTCACTATCTGGACTTAATACATTGTAAAGATTTGTCCCTCTGTGACCCCTATTATATAGAAGCACTTTTAAAATCTGAAGTTATTCTTAATAGCATGATGCAAAGCATTTAAAGGAAGAAGCATGGAATAAAAGTTTGAGAAATTAGCTCATTAATGAAATAAAAGAGGAAAGTCTTCCTAATAAAAGTCACAAAAAGTTCTTGCAGGGTATATTATAACTGACCAAATTCAAAGAACTTCCTATAAAAGAAACGTTCACCAGGAAGCAAAGAAGTATTTAAAAAAAAAAAAAAAAATTCACAGTGAAGCTTCAAGAACGGTAGATAGAAAGTTCTGCTGAGGAAGAGAAACTATTTAGGGACAGCCAGTCCTTTCTGAGATACCACTATTTTTCCTTATGATTAATATTAGAAGAGAACATATTATGATAAAAAATTTTGACAGCTCAAATCATGTCTAAATTAAGGATCTCATGAACCCTTTCCAAAGTGCTACCCAAATGCTACAGAAGCTATGCTAAGAAATCCTTCAGCCCACATCAAACAAGACAAGTTTCTCAAATCCAGCTCAGAACTCTCCTCGGGCTTTCAGCTGAAACCCCCTGAGTGAGATCGCTCATTCCTGGAATTCATCACATATGTTTATTGTGTCATTCACCATTTTGGTTTCTGCCATGCACAACAGATAAATACCCCACTAAAAAGAAAAACTAGGGCAGGGCACTTAGACAAGAGAGAAAGGTGTCCCATGCAAACCTTAGAAATGTCCTGCAAAGGAAGTATCCAACAAACCTGAAAGAGGAAGGCGTCACCCAAGGAATTGCTGAGGCAGAAGACAAAGTCCTTCTTGGGGTGCTCAGGCACAGCCTGCACAATACTGTTCTCCACCCAGACAGCGTGCTTGGGGGTGCTGTTGTGGTCTATTCCACACCTGCCATCACTTTCGTAGAAGAAGAGCGTGCATCCTGAGGAAACAGAACGGACGTCTGCGTGAGGATTTCATTCTGGCCCTATGAAAGGCTTCAATGGAAACAATACTTGTCACCAGGAAAGTGTGCTGGGAATTAAAGTGTGTGGAACCCAGGAAGTAAAGAGGATGGGGCCATGCTTATCCTCTAAAGGTCTTGAGTGGGCCTAAAGAAACGTAAAGATTTTAAACCACAGCTCCTAGACTTGCAAAAGACTCCTTCATGCATGTCCTTACGTTCTTTAAGACACTTACTTTCTGTGTTAGACTGTTATTTTTTGTTTTGTTTTGGTGGGACTGGGCTTTTAACTCAGGACTTCACACTTGCAAAGCAGGCTCTCTACTTGAGCCATACCTCCAGTCCATTTTGCTCTCGTTATTCTGGAGGTGAGGGTCTCTTGAACTATTTGCCTGGGCTGGCCTTGAACCATGATCTTCCTGATCTCAACCTCCCAAGGAGTTAGGATCATGGCTTAGATTGTTTTGTTATAAGTGTTCTTACTCAGGTGTACGAGGTCATGAGGCCCCTTTTCTCAGGTGATTACACACACAGGTCTACAGGTTCTACAAGACCAGAACATTACCTAGCACTGTGTAAAGACAGACGGTCATTTCTATTCTACTGGACTCTGTTTGCAGTATGTATCTACACGACATGCAACCAGGACATGCCAGAAAATATACTGGGTTTTTGGACCATACTCTTGGAGAAAACAATAAATAATACTTGGTTTAGACACTTCAGAGTAACAAAAGAAATTATAGATGTCCTTGTTCCTTCCGAAAGAAGAAATGTGTGGCACACACATGAAGGTTTAGGGGAAGGGAGAGTCCTGGTTCATACTTAATGGCACTATGAAACTAATGAGACAGCAGCAATAGAAATATTTCATAGGTTTGTGGTAAAGTAGCGTCAAGAGATTTCGCCTGTCATTACCCTAACGAGAAGCTCACCATGAGAGCAACCGGTAGCTGAATACATCCTCTCAACTAGATCATACCAATTTCTTGGGAAGCCTGAGTTCACTTCAGAACTCTAAGTCACTGAGTCAACTCCCAGCGTCTTCCTCACAATGAGCAAGCATCACTCTTCATGGGAACTGGAAAGCCCTTGAAAGTACAATCTAGTCAGTTACAATGTAAGTCTGAAAAGGAAATTTGCTCATATGCAATGAGTCATGGAGAACAACGAAGACCGATGGAAAAGTCACACTGCAATGTGACATTGCAAAGATAATTTTTCCTAGCCCGTAATATTTCCTATTACCATGCAACACCTGCGGAACACAACACCCTAAGCAGAACTCAGTGTAGCACACTGGGGGGCACGGGCCACTCATTTCACATTTTCTTCCCCTTGTCCCAGCTCACCCGTGGCACGGTGCTCCTGAGTTTCAGGATTTTATAACTGTTGTTCTTGTCTCTGTAACTCAGGAGTCTCTGTTATTCCTTCTACCAATTAAACTTGCATTTCTTCTTTTTTAAGGATCAAGTCCTCTACTAATGTGTTGTTTTTTTTTAGGATAAAACTTTATGGTGTGCATGGTTACAAATTTTTAGTAAAGTTAATAGAGTGGTTTTTTAAATTTTGTGTTTAAAAAGTGTATACTTAAGTTTAAATAAATACTGCTCAGTGTTCTGGCCTCAATTCTATTTTGCCCATAATCCCTGCAATCTTGAAGATCTGAAAGATTTTTCAGGAACACTTACATCAAAGAGCAAAATCATCTGTACCTCCTATTTCCACTCTTTAAAAGAAAATGAAAATGAAAGGGTGGCTCTTTTTGCTTCTAAATTAAAGGTTCTCATGGTGGGGAAAATTGGAGACGCCTGCAGACATTTTTGGTTGTCACAACTTGGGGGAGATGTGCTACTGTGGTATCTAGTTGGTGATGGCAGGTACTATGGTTTGGATCTTAAATGTCTCCCAAAGGCTCATGTGTTTGGAGCCTGGTCCCTAGGGATGGTGCTATGGGAGGTGATGGAAGCCTAAAGAGGAAGAACTTAGTGGGAGGTCTTTAGGTTCTTGGAGGTATGTCCTTGCAGGGGATAATGAGGCCCTAACCCTTATTTGTTCCTTTCCTTTTTTCTCCCTGGACATGAGGCAGGCAGGCCCAGGAGAAACGAAGCCAACCAATCACGAGCTGAAATCTCCAAAACTGTGAGCCAAAGTAAATATTTACTGTTTATTGATAAGTTGTTTTTCTCAGGTATTTTGTTATGGTGAAAGTAAGCCAACCTACACAATAGGGAAATCGCTGAACAATTTACAAAGCTCTACCTCAAGGGTTATCTGAAAAAAATGCCATTAGCGCAACTGTTGAGAATGGCAATTCTAAATAATCTTGACGACTAATATGACAGTAATGATCTGCAGATGCTTGACAAGAAAGGAGCAGCACACTTTACCACAGGATGAGAACAGAGAGAGAAGTCTATGCATAACGGATGGAGAAGCATCTGTATACAGTGGTCATTGTGTGATCTTCCCAAACACCTGTTTTTATAATTTTTCAACTTTGGTTTAGAATCATCACAACACAAGGTGATTAAAATTGGCTTCTACTCAATTATCCACTTGTTGCACTTTTAAGACTAATATGAAGCAGCAAATCCAAGAACTACACACTCCCTGATAAAAGTCTCTTTACCTGTATCTTCCCTGGGTGCAATCCTTAGGTTCTTCACCTGTTCACGAAGTCACTCCAGAGACTAATTCTAGAGGAAATCGTTTTTAAAAAATTAATTCCTTTGTCTAATGTCAAAGTTTCTGCCCCAAGTTTCCAGGTGTTCTGCTTTTTCTGTTTCAATATCCAAGGGTCACTAAGGAAAAGTAAGCAGTAAGTCTTGCTTTTGAGTGGCAAGGACAAAGCCCTGAGCATGTCAACATATAATGGGAACCTGTCAGGATTAAGAAAGAAAAAGCTCAGTGACTCTGTGTCTGGGCCTGAATCCTGACATATTGTGTCACTCAGATCTGGGTCACCAGGAGAGTGCAGTTTCCCTTTTCCTTGTCTAATGGGCTCATAGGCTGTGCTCCTGAATCCCCACACTTTGGCTTCCTGTGTTATTTATTCACTAAGGAAATAACAGAAACAAAATAAGCCCTTCTGCTCTGTCAAAGTAAAAAAGAATCTCCTATTTTTATTGTGTGCCACTAACTGCTGTTCTCAAATTGAGAGTAAGACTCACTTGGGAAGTTGATTAAACCATGAATCCAGGGCCTGTTAACAGGCTAAACTGTGTCCCCACCCCCCAAATTCTTGTGTTGAATATCTAACCCCCACTACATCAGAATATGACCATATTTGTCAACTGGACCTTTAAAGAGATAATTACAGTAATGTGTGGTCATATGGGTAGACCCTCGTCTAATATGTCAAGTGTCCTCATAAGAAGATGGAATTTGGACACAGGAACAGAAGAAAGGCCATGTGAAGATACCAGAAGGTGGCTATCTCCAACTCAAGGAGAGAGGTCTCAGAAGAAACCAAACTTGCCAACACTTCGACCTCAAACTTCCAGCCTGCAGGCTTGTAAGAAAATAAATTCTTATTTACAACATCTAGTCTGTGGCGCTTTATATGGTAGTCCTAGAAAACCAATACCAGGGTCCATGTCCACACCCCAGAGGTGACTGTGAAGCAGGTGGTCTTTGAACCAGGCTTTTAAGAACTCAGCACTAATAATAAACTGAATGATAGGATGGACTGCTACAGGGAACAGAGGTACAGTAGCCAGCAGTGAGTACACCCCAGGCAGGGGGGGAAGTGGAAGAGGAGAGGGTGTCCCCACCGCTCATTCCACCTAACCATAGCAGACCATGGTCAGGGGCGTGATCCAGCCCCTCAGACACAACTTCGTAGTGTCTCCAAATTAAGCCATGGAAGGTCTCACATGAGAAAAGCCAGTAGCAGTTCTCTAAAGTGTGCCCGCAGGATGAACACTGTGTTTTGTAAGTAGGACCAATACATCAAATCATCAAAGATAATTTGCTGTAGAAATAGTTGAGCAAAAAAGACAGAAGGAGCTGAGCCCTTGGATGACTTCATGGGAAAGCCTTATCACAGAAGCCTCTGTCTGGCTGTGCCCTTGTTATTGTCTTTCTGGGTCTCTATGATATGCAACAAAGTCTACATTCTAACCAACATACTCCCTTCCTATTATATCAGGCATGGAAGCAACAGTTGACCTACAAGTAATGGGGCCCACCAAACCCTGCTTGTCCCTCAGGGATGACCTACACAGTACTCACTGCACAGGCATGATTTCACCTCATTGAGCAGAGCTCTGTGCTGGTCCAAGCCTCCATGATGAGATGTTCCCACACCAACCTCAGCTGGTGAAATCCACTTTCTGTAGCACAACTGGTCAACCCAGCTTTCTTCCCCAGCCTGCCAGCTACAACACTGTTTCAAGTCTAGTTGGTGACAAAAACTCTAAATGTACTTACGAAGTGTTTTTCTTTTTAAAACACAGAACTCACAAATGAATTAGTGTCTCCATTATGGAGAAACATGATGGCATGGGCAGAAACAGATACTTCACAAATGGGTGGGGAATAACAATGAACAGCAATATATAAAAGTATTATGGTATGGAAAGAACATATGGTGATATGTACAGCCATGTATGCATAGATCCATATTCAAATATACACAGCTGAACTATGAAACAGTGGCTTCACAAACTCATGATGGTTTAGATACTCTGTTGACATCAGGTTGAATTCTATAAAATTAGTGATATCCTTTCAATTTTTTATCTCAAAGATGATGATTTTATAGGAATCAAGCTGATGATTTTATTGGAATCAAGCTAATGATTTTCACTCCTCAACAGTCATTTTGTGAGGCACAAATCTGAATAATTAAAAAAACTGGGGGAGGGGGACTCCTCCATCAAAACTGTCATCAGAACCAGCTGTATCTATGAGCACTGCACGTGAGATGTTGTCAACATGAAACACAAAAAATAAAACATCATTTGCATGGGTGCTGGGAATTTTTGGAGTATTGATCAGTTAGGTCATACGAATGCCTAGAATGTTCTACTATACTCAACAACACTGTCTCATCCATTTAAAAATGTGTTAAGTAGCTGGGCTGGGTGGGTGGTGCATTCCTGTACTTCTAGCTACACAGGAGGATGATAATTACAAGGTCAAGGCCACCCTGGGCAACTTTGTGAGACCATGTTTCAAAATAAATATAAAAAAGAGCTTTGGGAATGCTACTCAGAGCTACACAAGAGCCTGGGTTCAATTCCCAGTACCATTAAAAAAAAAAAAAATCCTTTAGATCTTTAATCATCACCATCCTCATCCCAGGATATGATTTTTTAAATAAATAAATATGCTGAAATCATTTTATAATAGAACAAAAAGAAATCTATTTTATAATAGAACACCCATCACAGCACGGGGGTACCACAATCATCGAAGCGCGCAGCCTGGGCCACCTGCCTCACCTTTCAGGGACACCCAGTACTGCTTCCACTTCCGGCGGGTGGCCGACTCCACCTTCTTGTTCTTCTTGTGCACCAGGAAGTTCTTGACCGCCAGCGCGCCCGCCTTGCGCACGGTGCCCTGCGCGGCGGTCAGCAGGATGTCCGACTGGCCCGGCGAGCTCAGGGTGCCACTGCTGTGCTCGTCGCTGTGCGCGGAGCCCGCCTCCTCCAGGCTCTCGCTGTTGGTGGTGCTCATCTCCAGCTCCCGCCTGAAGTTCTCGTACACCCCCTGGCGAGCCGCATCCCCGGTGGAGCTGCTGCCACTGTCGCTGCCCACAAAGGCCCGGCTGGTGGGGGGTGAGTAGCTGGAGTTGGTGGCATTGGATCGCCTGGACAGGAGGTCCGTGTCGGTGGTGGCCCCTTCAATCCCACTGTCTGCAAACTCGCTGCCCTCGCCTGCATTAACATCCTTGGGAGGAGAAAGGAAAAGAGAAGACGACATGCATCACGTGGGGGAAGGAACCCAGGAGCCCCTGAAGGCCCAGCCAGGTGCTCTGGAACGCAGGAGACCCATGAGACTTGGCTGCTCTCCTGGACCGATTCCTCCTCACTCCAGCAATCCAGCGGAGCCACTCAGGAAAACAGCAGGTGCCCTGCAAGAAGCCTAACAATTTGGAAAGCTCAAGAAATAACAGAAGAAACAGGGAATACTACAAAGAGCTTATCATTTATCTGACTCGGATAATTAGCTAATCAGCTATTGAGATTCTACCCTTGCCATGCTGAGCTCCTTGCCCTCAGCCTCCCCTGCTGGCCTTGACCTCCAAGAAATCCCACAGGCAGATTAGTTATTGTTCCAAAGGTAGCGGGTTACAATGTATAACTAGGTCTTTAAGGCTGATACCTTTTTAAAAAAATAAATAAATAAAAGGACTGCTTAGGAGTCTATTTTCTAAGGAGGTGACTAAATAGACTGCTACCACACCACCTCACCCACTCACCCAGCAAGGCCCCATATCCAGAGAGCAGGCAAGAGCCCTCATGTCCTAATCAGCTTCGCTTCTTAAAACTGCTTCTCACTCTGCATTGTGCTAAATCAGTCTGTGGGGCCCAGAGTTCCAACTCAGACTCTCCAATTTCCTTGCCCTTTCAAAGCCGGGATGCTAGGAGCCTGAAGCAGGCGACTCACTGCCCCTGGGCCAAGTGACAGCTTGGGGCAACTGCCAAGATGTGGGGTATCAATTCCCAGCTGAAAAACGTTCAGAACTTCCAGAGCGCTCCAACTGAACATTTCCGGAACAGATAGGTCTATGCTCAAATCAGAATCTTAATTGTTCTAACGCACTACAGGCGTTTCCATAAACAATAATTAAATAATGGTAGTAATCGCAGGAGGGTGGTGACAGCAGTAGGACAGCTCAACAACCTTCTGGATAAGGAATGAGACTGAATTTCCTCAAAGGAAGAAAACAGGACCCCGTGTCTGACACAGACAGCAAGGTAATATACAGTCTGGGGGTTTCACAGTGTTTTTGAGCCTTTACTCTCATAAATAAGTAATTATAGTTCAGACATGTAAAAACAAAAAGGATATTATGTATTCCCAGAACAAAAGGAATGCTTTGGGCTCAAATCTTAACTGAGAGGCAATGGAGTGAATGAGCCATGACACAAACTAATGTCCTGTGCAAGGTCCAGATAGGTGCTGCACCCATATCTCCATGGGTCTCCTAATTTAGTCAATTCAAGGTTAGTGTTGTTCCAAGTTCACTGCCATGAAAACTCCTTAAGTGAGCAACTAAAACAGGTGCATAGGCAGACCTGGAAAAGAGCAGGAGGAAGAGGTGATGGAATGGTGTCAGGATGGAGTTGAGACCTCTGACAGTTGAAGGACCTAAGGAAGACAAAGAAAGCACAGCTAGAGCTCATTTGCAGACCCCTGTGCTATGGTTTGGATGTGGTTTGTTCTCCATGGCTTGATCCCCAGTGTGGCAATGATGGAAGGTGGTGGAACATTTAAGAGGTGGGGCCCAGTGGGAGGTAATCAGATAATAAGGACAAAACCCATGCACAGGATTAATGCTGGAAAACAGCCTGTAAGAGCAGACTGTTTTCCCCTCAATTTCTCTGGCTTTTGGCCTAGCCAGGTGATGTTTCTCTTACCATACACAACCACCATGATGCAACGCATCAGAGGCCAGCAGATGTTGGTGACACAATCTTATAACTCCAAAACTCTGAGCTAAATAAATCTTTTTTTTTTTTTTTTACAAATTAACCACCCTTGGGCATGTTGTTATAGCAGTGAGAAGCTAATACACCCTGTAATTGCTAGTCCCATCACTTTGTTATCTCTTCTTCTGCCTATTACAGCCATGGATGGTCATGAAGGACCCAGATCCACTTGGTAAAAATCTACGCAAATAGGAAAATACTGTTATCATTCCACATTTCTCGCTGGCAAAGATATTTATATTATTCCAACAGGGACAGTAAAGAAATTTGACAATCATTGATTGTGGATAACCATGAGTCAAAAGATGAGAAGTTTGTGATTCTCAAACTTCGAGATTTATTTTCATCTATCTCAGTTCTTCTCTGGTGATGGTTAGGTAAACATGCTATGTAATTGTACAAAGATGTGAGACTTCTCTGTAAGACAGGCAAAGGTAATCTACACCAGTCACATCCTTAGTCCACAGGAGAGACAGCAGTACAAAGGACAGAAGGCATCTTGTGACATCCAAAACAGAAAGGAACTTTGCAAAGCCATCTCCTTGATAAAAGACAAGACTATGGGGACTCAGAAAGTCACTAGTCACTAGTCACTAGTGGCAGATGGAAGGTGAGAACCTGTACTTCCAAAGTATCTTTTCCACCACTATGGTAGCACCATGGCTCAGCTATAGGTAACAACTGACCAGGTTTTGTCCCAACATTGAACTTCATGCCTTCCCCCCCTTTGCCTACCTACAATGCCTTCTAGTTTTTTTTTTTCTGGCAGAAGCTGAGTGCCTGTTTGTCTATTTGCTTTGAGCTAAAACCTGACAGTGGTGGAACTGGAAGGATGAGACACAAGAGGATGAGGGAAAGACTGGTAGAGAGCTAACAGGTCAACTCTTAAAAGCATGGCTTTTAGAGTTTACTACCCTGAACTCTAAAACTCTGACCCTTTTCCAGAATACTCTCTATGTCTCTATGTAAACTACTTAAGCCTTAAGTCCCTGGAACACCTACCTCTGTGTCAGACCCGAACATCTGCTCATGCCAACTGATGCTGTAACCTTGCAATGGCCTAGGCTCCGTGTATTCAGCTCTGAGATGGTCACCAACCTGAGCAAAGATGTGACTGCTCCAGGTAGGAGGCCTGCTGGTCCCAGTTAAGCTCACATACTTTTGAAGCACACCGCTCAGTGTAATCTCTGGGGAATGCTCTTAGGTCTGTAACCCAAGATGACTCTGCTTTGTCTTCAGAAGTGGTTAATCAGGCTCCATGGTACACATTCCCCTCACTGATATGTGACTCAATCCATGGGGAAATAGATTCTGGCTGCCTTGCCCCAACCCCTGCTTAGTCATGAAGCTTGGGATGTCCAAATACCCACAGCCCATCTCAAGCGCCATGGTCAATGGAGCCAACACAGCCAGAGACACAACATTCTCTCTTCCCTTGCTGTGAAAGAAATTTTCTTGTAATCATCTTTTGGATGGGGTCTTCCTCCCGCCCACCTCAGTTACCAGGACATGTCACAACTGAGAAGTATGATTCTTCTTAGCCCCTAGAAGCACCTGAAAACTTCCAACTCTTCCCAGCTGCAAGCAATACAGGGAAACTGACACCAAGGAAGAGTAGTCATGATGCATGGGAGGTTCTGAAGTCTTTATAGCAGATACAAGACCTGTTTCTTTTGATTAGCATCTGGTTTGCCCTAGGCAACTTAGCCAAATACCAAATTTTAACTTAAAAACCAGAGGAGGATCTAGGAGGTATTGTTCAATGTTAGAGAACTTGGCTAGCATAAAAGAGGCCCTGGGTTCGATCCCTAGTGAAAGAGAGGAAAGGAGGGAGGGAGGGAAGGAAATGGAGCAAAATGGTAAGACCTTAACCAGACAGAAATAATTGCCAATATGATGCATGATCCAGTAGAGATTTCCAGAAAACAGCTCAAAATCACCTCTCCATGTTAAAGAGGACACATTTCTGATGAACAGCATTCACAGGACAGGAAGGTTCTTAAGTCCTGCTCTCCCAGGACAGATCCTCCCAACCTAGAGTTTCAGAGCACTCACCAGTTTCCATTCCAGTGACAGCTTCCCAAAATGAAAGAGTGTGTGTCCCACTGAATGCACAAGTGGCCACCTGTAGTCCCAAACATGCACCAGCTGCTGGCCAGGAGTCTTCCCAGTCATTTCAGCTGGGCAACAAATGCTTAAATGAGTTCCTACACTAAAATGAGGCAAAAACCAAAGCATGTCATCACTATCCTGGAAACTGGAGAGTCATCAGCAGACTCATAAATAATCCTAGGGAGTTGAATTCTAAAATGTTCCTCTTTCCCCGTCACATGCATCCATTCACCCCCCTGCACATGTGCATGCTGCATGCATACACACACACACACACACACACACACACACACACACAAATACTAAGTTTGGGCCTCAGTATTCTCTCCTTGGTATACTCAACATATTCTTTAGTAACCTCAGTACACCAAATACCAAATCTGGGTAAATTACTCTGCACTAATCTGTGTCTCAGTTTCCCCACCTGTATAATGCTTTCAGCAACAGTGTCTACTTTTTGTTTTCACTGCCAGAGATCACACTGTGGGCTTTGCCCATGGTAGCAAGCACTCTACCACTAGCTATTGTCTACTTAATCAGATACTTTATATAACACTATCAGATAGTTAACCAGCAATAGTATCTAGAACTGTGCTCAGCACACAGGACCAACTAAAAAATGTTAACCATAATTACTATAATCTCTACCTTCAGTCCTCCTTCCATCTCAGCCCTGAGCTCAGCTACTAGTTTTCTGTACCAACACAGAAGGGAATTTGTCTCTAAGGAATCCAGGAAAAGCAAGACCTCATGGTAAAACAGGCAGACAGGTGTGAGCCTCATACTAATGAGGGTTTTTAATTATTTTCACATTCCCAAAACAATACAACAAACTAAGAAAATCTACACTATGAGTTAGTAATTATTTGGCCTTATTACTAATAATTGTCATTTGTGGTTTGCTACTTAGGAAAGCGGCTCTATTTTCCCTTTTCTTCCTTTCTCAAGGCAAAATCTCCATGCCTTTTTATGTTTCCAACACCCATGCCTTCTCCTCTAATGGATCCCAACAGCAGTGACTCACAATTTCTCTTAACACAGCCACTGGAACTGAAATTCTCATTGTTACTAAAAAGGGAATCTGAAGAAAGATGGCCACTGCGTGAAATGTTGCTTCGGGTA